AGGATCCAGGAATGGGCAAAAAGACAAGGATTTACGTTTTCGAAACAGAAGACTGTCTGTGTGCATTTTTGTAGAAAGCGAGGTCTCCATCCTGAGCCTGAGTTATACCTTAATGGGTCTGTGATTCCAGTTGCATCTGAAGTAAAAATTTTAGGGGTGATGTTCGACCGAAAATTGACTTTCCTTCCTCATGTCCTAAACTTGAGAAAAAAGTGTACAAAAATTTTAAATATTTTAAAAGTCCTGGTGAACACCTCCTGGGGTGCAGAGCGTTGCTCCATGCTTTGCATTTACAGAGCTCTTGTTCGCTCTAGGCTAGACTACGGCTCAGCTGTTTATGGATCCGCTCGGTCTTCAGTGTTGTTAAAACTAGACCCTGTTCATCATCAGGCTCTGCAGATTTGTTCTGGAGCTTTCAGGACGTCTCCTGTCCAGAGCCTTTATGTTGACTGTTACGAACCATCACTCCGTTTGAGGTGTGAGAAATTGTCTCTTTTACAGTATTTTAATATTTTATCTCAACCTGACCATCCTTATAACTTGTGTTTATGTGATAATAGCTGTGACCTTTTATTTGAGGCACGTCCATCCTGTGTGCCTTCTTTTCCTGTCAGAGTTCGTCCCCTCATTGAAGAATTCTCCCTGTCTGATATGTCTCCACAAGCAGAACAGCATTTTGAAATTGCACCTTGGGAAAATGCACAAATCCACCTTCTTGACATTTTCCACAGTTACGGAAAAACAACTACTAATGAGAGCATCTACAGACAAATTTTTGCTGAGCACAGGCATAGTTACAGGAGTTATGTTTCCATATATACGGATGGATCAAAGTCAGCTTGCTATGTCGGGATGTTATTTATAATTGGTGACCACATGGAAGGCAGACGTTTACACGATGCTTCCTCTGTCTTAACCTCCGAACTGACTGCCATATATTATGCGCTTTTGTACATCTCAACGCTGCACCATGAAAAATTCATTGTATATACAGACTCCTACAGTGCATTTCATTGAAAAGCATTTCATTGAAAAAGTTCATTGAAAGCTTTAGAATCCTTTTCTACCACTGAGAATCCTGTGATAGTGGATGTTCTCAAGTTGAATATTAAATTGAGACAAGTTGTGGCATATGAAATTCTGTACTGCTAGGGTTCCCCGGACATACAGGAATAAAAGGGCAATGAGCTGGCGGACATCGCAGCGAAATCTGCTGTTGAAATGTCCGCCCGCCTCATCCCTTTTAGAGATATTTGTTGTGTCATCAAAGAGAAGATCAGAAAGAAATGGCAGCAACTTTGGGACATTTAACTTCATAGCAAGTTGAGAAGGGCAAAGCCTAAAATAGAGTACTGGAATACTACTAGCAATCGCAGGGAGGAAGTTCTTTTGACTCACCTTAGAATTGGTCACACTATAGTAACTCATAACTACCTTCTGAAAGCTGAGAACGAGCCTGTTTGTGCAAATTGTGATGTTTGTGTTTCAGTGTATCACATTTTAATAGTCTTCGTGAGAAGTATTTTAATAGCTGTGACCTGCCTCTCGACCGTTTAATTGGAAGAGAGGTCAATACCAATTTGTTTCACTACCTGAAAGAAACAGGTTTCTATTATTTAATTTGATTTTTGTCTTAAGATTTTATGTTAGAATTTTAATGAATCAGATGTTTTAGTATTTTATATCTGTATCTCATTATCTGAATCATAATCAGCATTTTCATCCCACCATTTCATTATCTTTTTACTTGCCTCTATTTTAAAAATGTGCTGTTGTCTTTAGACTTTTTTTCTTTATATAAAATCTATACGTTAGTTTATAAGTTTAAAAATGAATCCTGTGTTTGGCGCATATAGCCTGTAGAGCTTTGTGCTATAAATCTACTACTACCACCTTGATAGCATTATTCAAACTGATAAAGATAATAATAGTTTCAAAAACTTTAAAAATATTAGCTTTTTAAACCAATAAAGGTATTATTTCTTTGCATGTTGTGTGTTTGGAGACATAAACATGGCTTAGTGATAGATTATTTCTGTGTGATGTCAATAATTGCATGTCTCTCTAGTTTCCTAGATACTTGGCCATACTATGGAGAAAGTTTTCGTAGTATGAACTAGAATGATTGCAGTTGGCTTCAGTGAATATATAAGTATTGCTGCTGAATCAGTATATTTGTTAATAATAATAATGTAGTCAATCTGGGACAAAAGGCCACCCAGTTGGTATAGTGATCAGAGAAGCTTACTGCGATGCCGAAGGGCCTGGGTTCAAATCCCGGTGAAGGCATGGTTGTAACTGTCCGTCCCTTCACGGGAAAGGCAATTGTGGCTCACCTATTAGGTGCCTCCATAATAAAGAGACTACCACATCCGGCCTTGTATAGATTAATGGACTAGGTTACATTTGTAATTGTTCACATCTGCGATTGGAAAAAAAAAAATATGTGGCAAAAGTACTTTTAGCAGAGTAGTGGGTTTCATGTTATTTGACCAGCTAGTTTCAGAATTGTTCTAAGAGCATGGCAATGAGTTTTTAAGATTTAAAATCCAAAGATTAAAAGTTTGGTCCTCTTTGATCAGAAGTAGATTTATGAGCTGGTACAAGTTGCAGTGATAAGGGACTTCCAAATATTTTTCTTTTAAAAGTAGTGTAAAAGTATAAAAATCTATGTATACAATTTATGTCTGAAGATGGACATCCTCAAAAGCTCAAGTTATGAGAATTCCACCTCATAAATCCACTACTACACTTGGTCTTTTTGTTGCTGAATTTATTTTGTAAATTAGGAAGTGAATTTTTGTTCATTTTATTGTGCTTTCATGTGCCAAATTTTTCAGCGTTTTAGAGAACTTAAAAGTGCAGTATTCTCTGACTAAATTAAGTTTTTTTGCAAACTAAAAGAGATTAGATTGCATTTTGATGATTCTTTTTGATAATGTGTTTGTCTTTAACGTTGTGATGTTAATTATTTAGATTTCATAATAGTTTAAAAGAAAATTTAAATAAGAATCAATATTAGTGGTTAAATTTCTCTAATTTTCCTTTGCCACAATTGTAGCTAGTTGTCAGTCACAAACCCAAAGACTCTCAGAACTTGTAATGCAAATACCCAACTGCTGGTTGCTTCCTGAAATCAGGATAGTCCATTGTCCATGCTTTTCTTAAAGAATAAAAAATTGTAGTGGGTAATTTATTGTAATTACCTGAGAGTTAAGCTTCCATTTTTCTTTTCTGTAAATAGTATTGTCTCATTATCCCGACAGGATTCTTTTGCAGTTTTACATTTCAAATTAATTTACAAATAACCATCATTTTCTAAGTATACTGGGGCTACTGGCAAACTAAGCAAACCTAATTAGTGATGTCATTAAAAATCTGAGGCTTGCTTGTTTTGTTAATGGGAAGGGGCAAGAAAATTATAATCTTTTATGAAATTTCAAGTGTTAGAATATTCTGATTGCAGAGCTTAACATTTAAGTATCATAATTACTAAATATAAATACATCATAATTAAAGTTTCTTATTAGATGCTTTAACTCTGCATTAATGCAGAAGGGTATTTCAGCACCCCAACAACTCTATTTACACTGAGGAACAGTTGAATAAGGGATATCTAATAGCGTGCACCACCTTTATCCTTGATGATGGCTGTAATTCATCTTGGCATGGACTTGACAAGACATTGGAAGGTGATGCCATATGTATCCACAACTCCCAAACAACCTCCCCCAGTTCACAAATATTAGATGCAAGGTGTTTGGAGCCTTAGACATCTCTCTCAATAGCATCCCAGATGTACTCGATCAGATTTAGGTCAGGTGACCTTGATGGCCAGGAAAGCATGTGCAGGTCTGTGGAATGTTCATCCAATCATTCTGATACAATTGAGGTACAATGCACAGTGCATTGTCTTGTTAAAAGATAATTTCTGTAGTAGGCTGTCGAAAATGAACATAATTCGAAATGTCGAAAATGAACACAACAACTTCTTACTAATCTAGCAATTATTTTTTTCTTTAAATACATTCCTGTATGTATTATGCATAACCATATTTCAATGACCAGGATAATGATTAAAGAATTAAGGCTACTGGATGCTCACCTCACTTTGAAATATATTTTCTCTTCTCATATCTAAATATTTTACCAGTGACATATGCAGCTTGTAATGAGCTGCAACAGCATTTTCATAAATGTATAAAAATGTTGAAGGAATGACTGGCAGAGCAGCAATCTCACAGCAGACATCAACAGACTTCTGCAACAGCAGTTGCTTCTAACTACTAAACACAGTTATCACCTCTGGATGAAAAGGTTGCATAACAATAGATGCCTGTGTGTTATTATCAAAGTTTTCTGGAATTAATGCTAGGTGACTTTTATTAGATGCTAAATTGTAAAACTTCAGAACATCCATGTAATAGAAAATAATCGTAGATTATATTTTTTAAATATGAAATCATTATGCAATGTTAACGTGACCTTTTGGTATGAAAATATGTATAACTTTTAAATTTAAAATAAAGTGAAATAAATTATTAGTATTTCCTTTACATTGTAATTGCATTATGCACAAAGATTTCGATTATGAAAATTTAGTTTCGGATGAAGAAAAACATTTAACTAGTGTTATCACATTAAACAGGTGGAAAGAATTGTACAGAAGGAGGAGATGGTGATGTTTGAAAACAACTTCCATCATAGTGGTTTAAAAATTATAAAATTCTCTTTTACTGAAAGTTTCTTTTGTGTTAGAGATTGTAGCTCGTTTGAGAGAGAAAAAAAAAAAAAAAAGCTTCATTCTTAGGTGAATGAATACATTAAATTTCTAAGTGCTACATTGTTGTTGTTTGATCTATTTCAATGTAATAATTTGTAAGATGTATGTATATATGTGAGAACTTCAAAATTTTGTTGAATAGTTTATAGACTTGAATGATATATCATTGAAATTATTTAAACTTATCTTTTACTTGTGTGAATTATCTTTCTCCTAGAATGAAAACCAAAGAACTGGAAGTTCATATGCAGTGTATGTCACAACTTGGACTAAGTACATTAGGAAAAGATGATAACATTACTCCTGATCTTATGGTCAAATGTTGCGAGCGAATATTGGAGCATTCAAACTATTTTGGCTCTAATTTGCGTGATCTTAGGTTACGTATATCTCATTATTATTCTGTGTTACAGGATGGTGAGATATGTATTCCTTGGGACTGGAAAACTGTAAATAGTTGACTACTGTATAAAAACAGATGTATATTTTTGTAGAGCATTTTTATATAGATATTTTAAACAGCGAGATGCATTAAGTTAAAAATATGTAGCTTTCTTTCTTTTTATAGAACTTGAAGTTTAAGCATATAATTATTAGTATACTGATAAATAAATGTATATTTTTGTAGAGTATTTTTGCATAGATATTAAAAAAATATTAATGAATGTGCTTAGCTTTCTTACTTCTAAAACTTTTGTGTGATTTGACATTTATAATAAATATTGCATTTTTCTAAATTAAAAATTTTCAAATACTTTGTGGATATGTATAAACGTGGGTAATTTTTACAGTATCTACTTTTTTTGGAGGAAGAGAGTGAGCAGATTTGTCTAGCAATGAATTGAGTTATTTTGAAAAGTGATTAAAAGCTAAATGCTTTAAAAAAATTGAATCTTCCATAAAATGCACTAAAAAATATGCAAAATTTAAGATACTTAAAATTTGTCAATCATGTACTTAGGATACAATTGAAGACTATAAGTTATTGTAACTGGAAACACAAGTATTATAAGAGAAGTATACAGTTTCAATAATGTATATTTATTTTGGAATATGTAATAAGTTTTCCAACTTAGGATTTAGTATTTAGAAATACATTCATTTATTTACAAGTTGAAAATATCTATGTACAAAAAGGAAACATACAGATGCAGTCAGTCGGGAAAGTGAAATATAAAACAGTTTAAGATTATGGCAAATTTTTATGAAATTTAATCATTCCCACAATACATAAACATATGTTTTAAGCTGTATAGAAAGTCAAGTAATTTGCAGCAGTTTGAAAATGCTGTGTACGTGCATATTTAGTCACATGGCACACATCTATCCATTAGTCGAGTTCTTGCCAAATCCGACTTAACTTTGAGGCTGAAATTTCCATACATTTAACATCTCAAACCATCTTCCAACTGCGTCATAAAAAACGTACAATATGATGAAAACTAATTTCTGAATTTTCCATTTTTTTTACCACTGCACTGAAACAAAAATTATGCCACAGCACATGCTAGAGTTATGCAGTGTGAGCAGAAAAGACCATGTTTAAACATCATCTTCAATTAAAATCATTCCTTAACTGCAGTAACAAAATAATTTGAAGAAAACCTGAATTTGAAAAACCACAGAACTTTTCGGATGACCAAATACATTTCTTTAGATTTTTCAGTTTGCTTTTTTTTGGTTAATTATTGAAATTGTATTTATCTTTTGCAATTAACATTTCTGTGCATTATAAATTATGCAATTTAACTTAAATTATAACAGTACAGTTATAGCAAATTGTGATGGAAAAATTCATAAGAATTATAGGCTAAATGTCTTATGGAAGATATCAGTTGAAATAATGGCATTTAAGTTATGCACATATGTTCTGTTTGATGAAAAATTTTTGTATGGAAATATCTATTTATTTATAAGTGCTGGCAACTGTCATCATTGGAACATAAAATGTTTAGTCCAAAATTTGTGTGATTATTGTGTACAATGAACTCGCACTTAAAATTATTACAGCTAACCAATGGCATATTGTTTGTTAGTTTTTCTTAAAAATTCTGTGAAGACATACCATTTCTAAGTAAGGTAACCCATGACAACCCTATTATGATATAATCTAGCAAATTTTCAAAAAAGAAGGGAGGGGGTAGAAAGCATGACCTTAAAATTTCTGCTAGAATCAGTATAGAGTAGTAAATTAAATAGTTATGTGCAACAAATTCGGTAAAATTTAATGTAGAGTAAGTTTTAGAACGACTGTATTGATACTGTTCTTTTTTTACCAGCAATCATTAAAGTGTTAATAACACACTTATGACTAACACATCTGGTATTAAAATTTCTTAGAATGATTGCTGCATTTCTTGTCACATTGATAAAAAATAACAAGTGCAGGTAAGTTTAATTAATTTTGTGCATTTTATGGCAGTAATTTTTTTATGGAAATACTGAAATTTATCTTTTGTTCCTTGCATTTCTAGTTTAAGAAATCCATTGAAGCATATTCACTAGTCATGTCACATAATTTTGAGACTGGTGAAATCACAAAAATATACCTACACATATTTATTTGAACAAATAATTTTCATTCACATAGGAAAATATCCTAAATGGCTTTCATTCGTCTTTTTTATTACAAAGAAATAGTTGTAGCATAATGTTAAATTTGAATTTATTTTTAGATTACTGTTGTTAAAATCTCTAAAATTATTATTTTATTTATTATTTTGAAAACTGAACTTTCTAAGGATTGATTTGATCCTTGAAATATGCTTTAAACACACATTAAATGCACAAAGAATTAACTGATCAGAAATGCTAATAGAGGATTCCAAATTAATTTTGTATAAATTCAAGTGAAGTATTACAGAATGAATATTTTGAAATGCAATTAACAAAGATTTATTGATAAAATGCACAGATTTCTCACGTACCTTAAATTCTAATAATAACCAATTCCTCCTTTTATGACAATATTATAATTTTAATGCTTAATACTAAGAGCTCTTAACAAATTACTGGACTGTTTTTATATATTTGAAAAGTAGATTATTCCGAAGGAAAGAAAAGAAAGAGTATTACTCTTTACACGATGTAGTAGCAATTTTAAGACAGAAAATTAATTTTTAAAGTGACAAGATTTTCTTTTTGTATTTAAAAGTAATTTTGTGCAATTATGACTTATCTTAGGACAGTGCACAAAGAATATGAGAACATTAGAGTTTTAGATGTTATAATTAAGCTAGAAATTTTATTATGGTGCAAAGTTTAGATTTTCTGATATACTAGGAAAATAAAAATTTCCACAATCAGATCCATCAATCCAGACATTTTGTCTTTTATTTTTGAATTTTTGTTGTAATTTTTAGATTGTTTTTCCTATTTCCTTCATTAGGATTCATGCAAAAAATTGTAAATAATTTTACTTGCTGGCAGCACAAGAGTTTCCTCATCCTCATTCCTTTCAGGTTTAAAGTTCTCCCCAATAGCATCTGTATCCTTAAGCAGATAGCCATAGTTTGTTTTGCCATAATTGAATAATCTAAATCATTCCAACGCAGGCTATTTAAAATGAAGCATCAATTTTGTCAGACTGCTATTAATTTTCCCAAAGTATGCAAGTATTTGATCCTGATTATTTCCAAGTACTCGGACATTTTACAAAATGACAGATTTGTTTTTATCAGTATTCTCATGTTGAATGATAAGGACTAAGTGTAAAAGAATTTTCTATTGTGAGATATAAGATTTCTAGACTGTAATGAAAGTTATAATAATCTCCCTAAGCTGTATTCAGTTGCCTTTCATTGTCTGTCACTATCCATACTCTGTGGTTGAATAGTCCTTTCTTAAATTTCAAAATTTGTTCATTGACAGGAGTGACTTTCTTTTTTCTAATTTTTGCCTTGCCAGTAAAACTGGTTGTAACCAGTTAAAACTGGCAGAATGAAATTAGAAGTATTTTAAAATTGTTTGGAAATATTAATTAACTGTTTGAATTAATATTATGTTTAGTAAATAGCTGTATATGTTTTGATGAATTCGAAGAAGCACTTTTTTTTAACTAGTTGGGTGCTTAACTTGTAACATGTAAAAAATGTCTAACTGAAAAGACTTGTACTTGAAAAAAAGGGATGACTATTAAATGATCTTGATAAGTGCAACTAGAAAAAAATTCATTTGCCCAAACAGTATTGTGCAGTTAATATACTTAAAGCATTTATAATCTATGAAGAATTAATGAAAAATGCAGATGTCTGAAGAAAGTGCAGAAAAGAGAAAAATTCAAGAGATGTTGAAATATCTCTTCTAAAATGCTCCTATTTCTAAAGCTCTTTTTAGCATAAAGCCAGCAGATATTTCTAAAATGCTAAGAGAGAATAACAGATGCCTCACAAGTTGTAAAGAGAAAAATCCAGCATTGCTCATTGGAAACTGTTTGGCAGATCATGTGGCTGCTGACCGTATAAAAGACATTTAATCTGAGCTTCTGAATGAATAGAAGTTGCACACAATTTATAATGAAAACGAAACCGTCTTATAGAGCATTACCAAAACATTTGAAATATTTAAAAGCTAAACGGCACCTGCCTTAAGAAACGAGCTACCATATTACTAAAGTCCAGTATGGACCCAATACTCAAGAAGCACTGGTTATTGGGGTGGGGAGTTACTAAAAAACCTGAAAGGTTTCAGATTTTAAATATGTCCAAAGTTTTTTTTTTTTAATGTTTTATGTGTTATTCTTATTTATTAAATATTACATTCTTCGCACTAAAGCCATAAAATTCAGTTCAACAGCAATGTCGCAAAATAATTTTGAGCATACTTTTAGAATTTCTGATACACAGTTCCAAGCGCTGGAGATAAAAAGAACCCCCCCCCCCCGGTAGAGTGTTGCCTCTGCTCGCTTTTAAATCCTTGAGTTTGTTAATCAAAAATCCGTTAAAGTTTTACAATATATGAAATCGATAAAACAAATTTCAAATTTGGGCTTTCAGATGTCCATATTCACACTAGGAGTACATCATTCAAAATTGGATGGCTCTAGGTACCATTGTTTTATCACAATGCGAGAAACATACATACATTTATGCAGATTCTTCATTATTTAATTTCTTCAAACATAATACAGGGCGATAAATTTTGGTGGCAATGATTTGAAAAGTGATACAGCCTTTTAAAGTTTTCAATGTGAAATCACAAAACGAAAACAATAGTCCTTTAGGGACAAAACCCCTTTGGATTAAAAAAACTTAATGTTTGAAAAGAATCGAGGATTTACGTAACTTACAACAGCAACAAAAACTCATGATAACAAGTAGTATTTTTACTGATTTTTCATTTGAAATGGGGCAGTAAACTGAAAAATGAAACAGGTGTTTTTACTAATTAGATAAGCAGCATGCACACCTCTGATCTCTTAAAAGCATTAGTGTCTTTCCCTGCAAATACATCTTTAGACTTAGATATTAGCTTTTAGACCAGGGCATTATAAGAGTATTTAAATGTCATTGCAGAAAGGATGTTCAGAAAATAGTAAACAAAACTGAATCTTGTGAAGATGTAAGCATTTTGAAATAGATAAGTAAATCAATATCTCTGCTAGGGGCCATGCATCTTATAATCAATCTCTTAAAGCACGTTTAAAAATTATTTTTGAAAATGCGGCTTTTGTTTAGAAAAAGTGTCAGAGAAATTGAAAGCTAAAGTCCATGTTACAGATAACAGCAAGGTATTTTAAAGATGCATTTTTAGAATGTGCCTGTTAACAACTGTATTGAGATAGTGCGTGTAAAAACTGCCTATGGTATCATAGAAGGTGTTGAAAGGAACTGCAGAAACTTAAGCGAAAGTGACACAGGAAAAAATTATGACATGCCAACATGAGTCGGATCTAAAAACAGCGTTGCAATTTCTAAGAAAAACTTTTGCACTGAAAGGTGCTGACCAAAAATGTTAAAAAATAGTTTCAGAAAAAAATTGTTGATGAACATGTAAATTAGTTTAATTTTTAATTATTATTATTTTACCTGTTTATTCAAGTTTAAAACTAATAACCACAATTTGTAATACACAAATCACTGTGTATTAAAACTCAGCTGCTTAATAAACTCAAATACGTTTGGAACAGAAGTTATTTTAATAAGCAGCAAGTACTATAAGAAATATTTTTATGAAATTAGCCAATTATATATTTTTATCTTTTCTGTGACAACTATTTTATACAGTTGCTGCACATTGCTACTGTGATATACAAGTATGAATGCCCTTTTTTACATAAAACATTTCTGTGGGGTTTCAGGAGAAAAAAAAAAAAAAAATGCAATAAAAGTTTTTAAAAATATATTATTAGTCCTTGCATCTGGTGGTTTGGGGTTAGTTTATTATGGCAAAACACACTAGGGCTATCTGCCTAAGAGGATGAATGGTTCCGTGGAGGACGTTCTAAGAGAAATTGGCTCGTTTACACATGGGAGAAAACCATAAAAATGCCTATTCAGACAGCCCATTCACCTGGATTCAAACCCAGGTAGTAACTACCAATATTCAGCTATTTTACCACTCAGCTACTTGTGGGCCTTTTTATCAGATGGTATTAAGGTCAAATTATTTTAGCCATAAATTACAAAATTCAATTTTGTTTTATATAAAATAATTTTTGCTACAGATATTTTTATAAAGCTATATTTATAAGTACAAGTGATGTAAAAGAAATAATGACATAAACACACTTGTTTAAAAATACAAAACTATACACACATTGCCATAAAGCAAATAAAAAGCATATTAATATCAAGGCACTTAATTCAATTTATCAGTATTACGCTTGCATATTAGAGAGCTACAGTTAGTAAAATTACTATTATTCTTCCTATTAAAAAAAATCACACTTCATGCACTATAAAAAGAATCGCAATAAAATGTGTAATTCTGTATATTATACATATTTGTTGATGAACTTCAGAACTGGCTCAGAAAATATTTAAAATTGTAAGAGTTAATATTTGTTATTGTTGTAAAAAACTGAATTCATTTTTTATCTTGCATTGATTCCATTGGACGAAGGGCTTGTGGATCCCATCTTCTAAGACTTGTGAGAGCTTCATTTAATTTATTGCACCATAGAATTCTTTCTTCTTTAGTGTCTGCTGATAATAAATGCCTGTATAAATAATAAAAATAATATATTAGAAGAGAAAAAAAGGTAACATTTCACTTTTGGATTTTACTAGAAAATAATGAGTATTAGCAATACAATCTGGAACAAAAGTTATGTACATTTGTAAAGCATGCTTACTGAGATAAGAATTACTTAAAATATCACATGTATTAAAAATGCAATCAATTTCTGATTGATTCGGAACAATACCAACAGGCTAACTAACGATTATGACACATATCGCCGCCATTAAAAAAATGCAGGAAAGCAAAATATACCATACTATAATTAAGATAATAATAGTATTACAGTCAAAAGTCTTTAATCCATACTCATCGGGACTTCGGTGATTCCGGATTATTGATCATCAATTTAAATCTGGTAAGATGGCATGCAGAAATTTATAAAATTAAGAATATGAAACCATAATTTATGAAAAAAAGAGCAATTATGATCTAAAGGGTATTAAAATTAAAAAAAAAAAAAAAAGCTTAATATTTATTTGTTTACTTTATTAAACATTTCTTTCAATGCGTGTATGCGTAAAGCATACATTACGCATAGTCAAAATTAGAAAATTGCAACCAGAAAACTATTTTATATGTATTCGTGATATTTATAATGACGAGGAATTTGATTTAAATCATATCAAAGACGGAGTACATCGAGATAAAATACTACATTTAGTAAGGAATTATAAGCTGAATAAAATAAAAACATCTGCCCTGAAGATAAAAATAGTGCTGACAGATCAACTTCCAGATCATTGCGTGCCGCGAATTCACATTGAAAGTGATGTGATAAATATATTTACAACTTAAATTTTTAAAACAAATAGAAACAAAAATCATAGGCATGTGTTTATGGCTTTAATAAGTATGGTACTAAAACATGACATAGTTCACATAATATGCACAAAAAGTCATCACAATGATTTGAGTGATTTGACATAGCGATTGTGATGTTAGTGCAATCATACATTTTATCTGACCCACATAAGAGCAATCATGTTATTTACTGTTAGTATTTTCCATAATAATTTTTGTCGTATCCTTAAATCAGTGACAGAGAATTCATAATATTTGACAGCTCTGCTTAATATATCAGAATAGTTCCCTGTTAAAGGGACAATATTTTTATTATTGAAGGATTTCTTTTAGCTAGTAATCAGTACATCATCATTCAATCTAAAAAATGTGGTCTTAACTGGATTTATAGACTGAAACAGTGTTATTCAGAGGAAAGAGTGCCACATAGAAGGAATATTTATTGCTTTTGAAATTTCTTCCATCATTTGAATACTATTACATTTTATATATTAGCTTCAGCAAATAAAATAGCTGTACCAAAATATTTGTGAGATTAATTTCAAGTTATATGGCGCTTAGTCTTAAAAGTTTGAAATTATAAAAACACTTATTATCTTAAGTTTATCATATATTACACACAGTTCTTTTCTGTTTTGTATAAAATGGACAACGTTCTAACTAAAGCTGTCCTGTAAAATGAAATGAAAAATATATCAGAATTATATCACACATTTTAATATTTCATAACAAAAATAATATCAGAAACCATCTAAGGCAAATATGTTAAGAGGTTTTCAAAAACTGCGTAAAAAGCCTGCATTAGTGTAAATTATCACAAAGTATTTGTTAGCTATTAATTTGTATCTTCATATATTTAAGAGAAAGAACATGATCAATGTTATAAAGATGATGTCTTTGGAAAATGTTAAATTTGTTTTGAGCATTCTGAAAATGAATTAAGAGTATCAATTTCACTTACTTTGTTGTTGTCAAAGTGTTGGCAGTCCATGATATTAGAGTATCTTTATCACCTTTTTCTTGAGGTCGAACTGTCATCATTTGAAAGGTATTTGGTCTTGCACAGATATCTCTTGTTACTGATTGTACATGGTTTGTTACACATTGTCTCAAATCTATAGACCCTATAGGCTCCTGAGGAGATATACTGAATTACCATACATTTTAAGTAATGTAAGCTATTAATTTTTAACTGAATAGTTCTACATAAACTTTTTCAGTTATTTTTGTGTATAGATATACACTCTGCACACACACAAAAAAGGGACTGTTCTATAACCTCCTGTTCTACTGGGCCAACTGACAAAATTTAACTTCTATTTTTCATGTCTTGAAAACATGACTTCAGATATATATTAGAATTATATATAGCATTGTTCCAACATAGGTATTTTGGCACAAAAATTGGACCTTTTCTGAAATGACATACCGATTTTTTTTTCGATATTTCGATTCTATAACTCAAATTATGGCAAGTGCAAGTTTGTGTAAAAACTGCATGAGTAGTGTTAAAAACATTACCTCTCAAAATTGTAGCACTTCCATGTTAATTGAATTCAGTATATATTTAATAATATCTTTTTTAAAAATTTAATTTAACTTGATTGGTTTTTTAACAATTCAAAATTTAGGTTCAATCCAAAATAATTCACATATATTTTCCGATTTATTTTCAAAATTTTTTTTCCAAACTAGTAATTTTTATACATTTTTCAAAAAAAAAAAAAGTTTTGCGTTAAATCCTATAAAAATGTTTACCATTGCTTCAACCTGTTCAGGACCAACATCATGCAGTCGCGACGATACCACTCTTACCGGCGCAGCGTCGCGTATGCGTAACTTGAAAACAGAACGATTTCTTTTGAATTTTGAAATGCCAGTAAATGGTAACGGTTTTCACATAGGTTAAGTCATATGGCTTTTGTCCTTCCCATATGAGCATCGGTTTCTGTTCTGTGCTTCTGGTTTTGATAGATTTATTGCTGTAAACAAACAGAGAATCACAGCTCTTTAAGTTATAAGGACACTGGCATGTTTATTTCATTAGAAATTTTTATTTATTATTATTATTATTTTTGTTGTTGTTGTTCTCGTTTTAATTCTTTACATTTTTTTTTATTAGAATGAAAGTGCATCCAGTTCAATATATTTTTTTTACCATTTATTTATTTTTTTGGGGTGGGTGTTAGGACCAAGGACCAAGGCGTTTGAATTACGGAGTACCTTTGCAATTAAATGCAATTACCTCCACATCTTGTTCAGAAAAAGGAATGGATAAGAGAAAGCAGTAGCTAAAGTATACGAAAGAAGCAGTTAAGCTAAAAATCAAGATTCGTTGAGAGTCCTCTTGTTTGGACACAGGAGGAGAGAACAAGCATTGTTCACAATTGAAGGCATTTAGCCCCCCGTTGCGAGTCAACTGCTTGCCCTCAGATACAAAGGAGAGGCAACCGGAACGCAGAAAGCGTGAATGGTTACCATGGAGACGAGTCAGCTGATGGAGAGAGGCGCGGTAAACTGGGCCTCGGGAAAGGTAAGGTAACTGTATTCAAGCTATGAGCTAAGAGCCTTGGGGTGGTCGGGGTGAGGGGACGAGGTCATTGACTGAAGAAGGCGAAAGAGTCGAAAAAGCGGTTGCTGAGGGAGAGAATTAAAGATTAGCTGTGAGAAAAAATTGGAGTATACTATGAACGGCGAAGAACTGATGGGTGAATTTGGTTGAAATGCAGCTTGTATTGCAGAAATGAAGCTCAGGTATTTGGCGGAAATATAATAAAAATTTTAGGAGCAGATGGATTAGAAGGTTTATAGGAGTTAATGATATTTTTTTTTTAATTAAATTTTTATAGTGAATTTTAAATCTGTAAGAATTAAAATACTATTGCTTTCTATATGCGTCTGGCGGAAAAGGTCTTGGCAAGGGTGGGTATAGATATAATATAGCAGCACGGTAGTAGTTGCGCGAAAATCTATGCCAGATTAGGTCTGGGGGGTAAAAACAGTTAAGTGTAGAAATATTAATATTCAGTACGGGAAGTAAACAAACAAATAAAAGAGTTATGGTAAACAGTGGTGCTGAAAATCAAGTTCATTGTAGATAATTAGAAGAGGAATTATATACAGTGAATTTGATAATATATATATATTGAATTATAAGGGTGTTAGGAGAATGTGGAAAAACGCATCTAACTAGCAGGTGTAATATCGCCAAACTTCCGTGATGCAGAAACACAGACCAGTTGTCCCTTTTTATATTTATTTTAAAACTTAACATAGACTTTCTTGGTTAATTAAAAATTAACTTTACAGCATTATTACAGAAGGGAGAAGACAGCTTTCCCGAAACATGATGCATTTTGCTTGATGAAAAAAGCCGTCATTGTCCTGTGTGTCGATCCTCGTTTTTAATTATTCCACACACAGTAGAAGTATTAAATTGGAAATTAATTACCTACAGATAATTATTGCTTAACTTTCTTTTAAATTTCATATTGTAATTTTGTTTTCATTTGTATAGTATTTACTTTCATCAGTATACACTACAAAGTCCGTAATCTGGACTCGTCGGGATTTTGGCGATTCCAAATTAGGGGTTTTCCCGGATTATAGATCATCAATTTAAATCTGATAAGATGGCATGCAGAAATTATACAATTAAAAAAATGAAACTGTAATTTATGAAATAAAGAGCAATTATGATCTAAAGGGTATCAAAAATTTACCAAAAAAAAAAAAAAAAAAAAAAAAAAAAAAAAAAAAAAAAAAAAAGCTAGTATTTATTTGTTTATTTTATTAAACATTTCTTTCAATTAAATTGTTTAAAGTTGCTTTGTTTTTTGTGCTAATACTTTCTCTTTAATTCTATAAACAGACATAATTTCTTGTTCAGTTACAAAGCCCACTGTTCAAGTCCTATAATTGCTGTGTTGAGAATACTGACTAACTTGTCAATCAAAATTTTTTCGTTTTCAATACTCTCTGTCACTTTCTTCACTGTTGGAAGCGGTATTTTCTGGATCTAGAACCATACTACAGATTTCGCCGTCCGTTAATTGATTGATGATTGGGGCATTGTCGTCGCAATGAAAAACCTCTGTTATATCATCTTCATATATTAACTGCTTCTCCACATTTCTTTACAAAATCCAATAATTGGAAAATTTCACCTCCAGTTTGCAATGTCCGAAAACCTTGAAATTCGCGGCATCATAAGTTCAAGCTTAAGTTTTTTAAAATTGCTCTAACAGTCTGCAAAAAGTAATAAGCCGGATCTAGTAAAAAGATTAAGGAACAGTGCAATTTGCAACATTAACTGAAATGCTTTAGAATGAGCAAAGATAATTTTAGCCTAGTTTATACCGACCGTAATACATTAAACGCGCATGTGTAAACGCATTATGTGCATGCGTAAAGCATACAGAAAAAAAAAAAAAGTTTGTGGCTTTGTGGTTTGGATTACAGTCTTTGTACTGTAGTTATAATTTTACTATTTTGCATGTTTAATTTATTTCTATTAATGCAATATTTTTTATATTAATATATATTAAGAATTAGTATACCAAGTACATAACTTCAAAAATTGGGATTATATTAAAATGCTGATTTTATATGAATTTTTTTGTAAAAGAAGGTTTAACTGCTGAAAAAGCATGGGCCAGTGGCGACGTTCCATTTCGGAAAGGGGAGGGCTGGTCCTGTGGCTGCGCTTCGTTCTCTGCACGCTGGTTCTCAAGGGGTTAAAGTATTTCTAGGCACACCTGTAAAAATTTAGGTTTTTTTTTATTTCCCAAGATATATGTGAATTTATATATTGGCGTGTTTTGAAATTTGCCATATTTAATTTATCAAAGTGATAATAATGCCAAATGTAGTTTACGCACTTTGTGAAAATTATTTGAAATGATGAATGATACACTTTTTCCCCACTCATGCACAATGAAAGAGGAAAGGAAACTAGGTTACGATGAATTAAGAGTTTCACCAAATGAATTTTTCTTGGCACAAATTGAAAGAAATGATACCAAGATAAATTTTGAAATTTCTCGGTAAATGTTTCACCAAATTTTATAAATGGGAAATAAGAACTGTCCCATTATTATTATTATTTTTGTGTGTGTGCAGAGTATACATGCTTGTAATCAGTCTCATGAAAAATAAATTAAAATACAGATCTAATTGGAACATATGCATTTTCTCTACAATAATACTGAGCTTAATTTTTTTAGATAATCATTTTACAAGAAATACTGTAAATTAAGAATTTTGAATAGAATTATAGCATAAAAAAATTAAAGAATAACATATGATCATCAACAGATTTACCTTTCTGTGTTCATCATCAGGATATTTCCAATACATGAGGCTCTGTGCATTCAATGCACACCATCTTCTGTGCCATGACCCAAAGCCACTGACATCTTCAAACATGGTCTATGACATAATATATGAATAAAACAATATTTCACTTATTCTTATATAAAGTTTCAATATAGTTTTAAAGGTATGTTTAAAAATAAATGAAATTAATACAGCCAGTCGCTCATAATGGCATCACTTCCCTTAGGTAGATAGCCTTATTTGTAGCTATCATATTCAAATAACCAAACCAATATTTTTAAGTCACATATATATTCTGTCTTATTGTGGGGGGGATCAAATGATCCACCATCATAATTAACCTTGTTGGATATTAGTGTGACTAACATATATCCATTTACATTTCATTTCAATGTCCTATACACAATTTTAAGTAAAGATTAATATACAGAATTGCTTGAATAATTTGATCCAGATATTATACTTTATGTTACTGTAATTTAACTCAAATATCATTTTGGAAAATATATTATGCATTTCTAGACCTTTACTATTAGTATTTAACTATTATTACTCAAATTATGTTTGAAATGTCACTTAAAAAATACTGAAATAAAATTTGGAACTTTTTTTTCTAAACTTAATAAAATAGAATGAAAAAAACACTGGTGAAAATGTTTCACTGCTAATTTTTTTGCATTAATACTCGATTATTGCAAAACATACAAGGATTAATTGCCTTTCGAGGAATATTTTCCTACAGGCCCTGATGCAAATTGGCTTAATTCTTGTTATACACAGGGAAAGTCCATGCATGCAGCCAATTTGCCAGGAACTGAACCCAAGGCAAAATACGAGTGTTAGCAGTCTGATCCATTCAGCAACTGGCGTGGTTTTATTAATTATTTCAAGTTAATTATTTATATATATATGTATATATATGTAAAAACCATGATGTGTTTTTGATTCCTTTTCAAAGAATCTTCTAATTCTCAATGGTTGATACTCCAAATTCAGGACATCTGAAGATATATTTCAAGAAATTTAAAATTTAATCATTTAGAGGCTTTCCATTTCAAGTTTAAGGCCATTTCTAAATTGCATAATATTTTATTATTATATTACTAAATTATATTTCTATATGTATGTATATGTATATATATATATATATATATATATATTTGACTATGAGAAAGTTATTGAACAAATGACGGAGCATAGTAAAAACCTAAACTGCTTTCTTCTCAAAAGGCATTTCTCTCACTCAGCCCTTTTCTCTTTGAAGAAAAGGTATTTAAAATATAAAATATGAAACAAAATTTAACTTACTTGGAATAAATTGGCAAGAGATCTTCAAATTCATAAATTTCTTTCACAAAATTGATATAAATACATCAAGAGATTTTTTACACACAATTAAATTTTTAAATCGGCAAATGGAACTCATCCTGTGTTGAAGTGCAAAATGTAGATAGAATATGATTTCATTTATGCCAGGCATATGGTCCAAAGTTTGACATATAAAACCTATTACATTTGTAAAAATTGTAGCAGTTAAACTGGTCCCTTTTCTCAGCTAATTTAAATATGGGAGAGGAAGATTACAAAGCAATGAGAGGTGCCATGAAGCACCATGAAACTCTGGCCAAGGAGCATCAGGAAGAAAAGAAAGATAGTCCCTGAATGGTGAGAGAAGAAAACTTGAGGGCTTCATGCAGGTAGTGTGTGAAGAGGAAGGTGACAAGCTGGTTGAGAAAAAAGGACAGAGAGACAATAAGAGAGAAAGAAAATGGCAGGTGGGTAAGAAAATGGCGAATTGGTGAGATCAACCGTGTGAGTGAAAAGGAGACTAGCATAGAGGAAGTAAAGAACCATTCTGTATCAAGCCAGATAAGCTGATTTTAATAACTTTATTAGATCTCATAATTTCCATCATAAAAGATACTTTATTAGGGCTATCGGTAAATAACAGGACTGGTGGTATTTTGTCATCAGTTATCTAAATTCATCATATAATATATATATGTATATTAATTTACATCATATAATGTACATTATATTTATATCATTATATAAAGATGTTGCAACCTTGATCTATTAACTGTTATTCATTGAAACTAAGGATTGCTATCGGATTAACAAACTGGGACTCTTAGAGCTTTAGTTGATCCATTATCGCCAACCAACACAACCTAGAATATAATCTGAAGTATGGTGGAAAGAATTTCTAATTGAGATAAGCAACGACAGTGCCAAACTATGAGAAAAATAATTATTTGACAATATAAGCAAAATCATTTTGAATTTAATATTTTATACATTTTTGTCAGTCTATGAGAATGCTGTTTTATGTATTTTTGTAAGTTTATGAGATCACAAGGGTCCTTTAATCTTTGCAGGATTAAATGGGGTATTCTGTAGGTCTTCGTTAAATGTACATATTACTAAAAAAATCAATGGTAATAATAAATAAAATTAAACTGCTGTAAAACATATCCTTAGCACATCTGTAATGCACCATTGATAATAAAAAAGGTACTTTTCTGTTTTACCCGCACAGGCAATAAAGTCGCCAATAATGGTACAACTGATGCCAAACGGAATATCCTCGCTGGTAACCTTTTACGATTCATTTTTAAAATAAGTCGCAGCCATTTCTTCTGATCAGATTAATTGTTTCTTTAAATACTAGAATACAATTACATAGAATTTTTACCAGAGAGTTCAGTTTTATGCCCTAAGGCCACTCGCGATAATTAGTAGTAGTAACTCGCGGTAGTCAATTAGGATGCAATCAAACTTACTCACCCGAAGGCGAAAATATGTAGAAAAGTCAAAATCAAGGGTTAAATTCGTCAATTCTAATAAGAATATACTGGCGAAGTAAAGCACTGCAGTTTTACATAATTTGATTAAGCTAATTCGTACGAAATGAAATAATTCTTGCATTTAAACTTGTATTCCAAATTAAGATTTAACTTCAAATTAATGTAGATAATTACTGAGAGAATTATATTTTTGTACCGTAGTTTACGTGAGATGAGATCACTTGGGGTCACGTGAATCATGATGTTGTACCATGAAAGCATTGTAAATTCTTAAATTAATGACTTTTTACAAGTTTATTGGCTTTTTATAAAATTTAAATGATATTTAAATATTTATGCCCTCAAAATAAAAGTTTTTTAGAACCAACATTTGTTAACATTTTATATGTGTATGCTATGTGTTGTCGCCAATAAAGTCTGCTTGGCGAGATTCGCGCCAAAGAAATGGAAAAGTACCCTCCAAAAAAATATATGTTGTTGCCAAACGGGAAATGTCATCATTTCGGCAGACTTTTTAACATTTTTTAATCCTTATGCACAATAAAAATGATGATGGAGTAAAAATTTTAGGATATAAAATGTGATAAAAGAAAGATGATTTTATGTGGATGTATCTACAACAAAATTTCAGCAAATGACAAAAGAATTATTATTACATACCAGCGTATGTAATGTACTGTTGATAATTAAAAAATATAAGTACGCATTATAAATTTAAATCACAATTGAATTAATATATCAATAAAAAATTGCAGTGCTGTCTGTAAATGAAAGTCTGATTTGCAACTTTGAGCTGTGAACAAAAATTCCGTGTGTGTTGGGGGATTGGAGAGAGAAATACAAGAATGAGAGATAGAATTCCCCTACTACAATTTTTATAAAGTAAATGCTAGATGGGAAATCCACTGTTTATGCGACTGGTATGGCACACATCTCTTTACAGTTGCAATCTACAGTACTTAAATACATATATGCATTTAAACTTTTATTGTCTCACACTTACTGTTTTTCAGAACAATTCGGGACCGAAAAACAAGGTATAAAAAAAATTGGGACTGTCTTGGAAAATTTGGGATGTCTAGTCACCTTACTTAAATGAGTTATTATACATTTGAAAACTCAGTATTGGTCTGTTCTTACAGCCTACATGTTTGCTGATGAATGCACAAGAACATTTAACGAAGTTTTAGACTTACAATCAAAATAAAGCATTCTGTTTACTTTTATAGAGGTAAAATGCAAACTAATATGAGGGAGAAAAAGCTTGTTTATGTTAACAACAAACTTGTTACTTTTTAAAAGTATTTCACTATGGGGGGGGGGAACTTGCAATATCCTTCAAATGATAAAATTTGCATTCTTTTTTAATACAATGAGGGAAATGCGATTTTTTTTTTTTTTTTGAGAGGGAAGGCAGTGATTAGGAGTGATTTCCATCTCCTGAGAGATGTTACATTTTAAAAAATTGTGAATGGTTTTTGCATCACAAAGACATCTTTGCGCTTCAAATGTTGTAACACTGAATATGGATATCTTTTGTGTGACACTATCGGTGAAAATGTGACATCAAAATCCAATAAACAGCTTTTAAGATTAAAATTTTCATAATTTTAAAATTAAATGCAACTTACCAAAAATCCTTTATATGTAACTTTATGCTCAGCATGGAGTTTAAGTTTGACTTTTAAAACTGCATCAAGTGGGGAAGAGTAGTGTACCTGTAAGATGCAAACGTGTGTATATGAAGGGAAATTCCACTGTTCTTTTTAATAATTAAGTAAGAAAACTGAAATCTAACACAAAAATAAATTTCAAACAATCAACCATTTAACAAGACAAATGAACAAATGATGCAATTCCATATCTTTCATCTTTTCTTTAAAAATAAATTTTGGAATAATTTTTGGTGTGGAGATTCTTACAACTGCGTGTAAATGATCATAAGTGATACTTAATCATAAAAGATTAACATTCAAAATAGAAAATGTTCGTTCACATATGTAGATCCAAAAATAAGCAACATTAATCAAACAAATTAAGTTTGTCAAGTTTATCTGTATTAAGAATATCGTAACATTTACAGATTTCTTCGAATGTGCATTTCTCTTGAACCAGTATCAGGCTGCAGTTCTATAATCTCAAGTTGAAGCTCACTGGGTGCACTATTAGTTTCTGCTAAAAATGAATTAAGCTGTTGCCAAACTTACTTCAGTTTTTTAAAAATTGCCAAATTTGGATAATGAAGGATGATCTAAGTTCAACAAAATTCTAAAATCAGATTCAAAATCTATCTTCATCAAACCTTGGAATAAAAAAAGCCTCAAAATTTTAGAAACTCTTGAAATCGCCAACTGATGTAAAAAGAACTAGTTTCCATTAATATTTCCCTGCTGAACTGGCACTAGTTCCCGAGTGGTAAAGTCGCTGAACGGTGGTATGGCGAACGAGCTGGCTGCATGAGATTCTTGGGATTTTCCTAATGTATAACGTGGATATGAAACAGTTCCTTGAGAAGATACTCCACAAAAACTTCCCTTCGTTTAAGCAAATAGTACTAGTGTGCTTTTGTATAATTCAATAAATCCCAATCCCCTGCTGAAATATTACCAAGCTGAAGTAGCTGATTTTCATCATAACTAACAAACTGACATCCAAATAATTGACTACACACTGTGCATGAAAATGTTAACGGCACTTTAACAATAAATGGAATCCAAACGTATAATTTTCACTAAAAGAATATCAGATTAACAAATATAAAAGAAAATAATCTGAAAATTAGTTAAACAATTTTAATACAGGTAATCTCATGCAGTTATAGATCTTCCTTTTTCTAAACTTTTTTTAGAATATATTTTTCATGAAAAATTATCAGAAAAATTTTATAAAAAAATGATTAATTTATTTACAACCTTAATTAGTTAACCATATAAGTTAAAAACTTCTATTAAATGCTATAAGTTGCATTAATTTTCTACTCATTTTCAGTTTTTCAGGTTTCCTTCTTACTTTTTTAGCAAAAATGTATTGGTTAATTCAAAATTATAAAATATAGTCCTCTTTCCTTCTTGCTCTCACAAATCATTATGTGAATATGCATTTACAGCATTTGAAGCCTGAAAACCACATGCCTGCAAGTTTGTTGTCATGCAATGATTTGTAGAAGCTTTATTTTTTGACAACAATATTTTGTACCATGATGTTTTAGAACTGCAATGCTTTCTCTTTGTTTTCCTTTCTCCCACAAAGTTTCTACCTTGCATTATTTTCTCCGCAACATTTTCGTTCGGAATGATTTTGTAGCGACCTTTTTGGCTGTAACCCATTGCATTAACACATGTTGATTATGATTACACAAAAATCTACATGAGTACAACATAATGTGTATGCTACATAATACATATCATTGTACAGCACGTAAATACCTAAATGAAATCTGTTAAAACAGATATTGAACTGTCTATGCATCTGGACATCAATTCCTCCAGAAAGCAATAATAATAATAATAATAATAAAGATAGATTTGACCATTCCAGTTTTAGCTGATGGGTTGCCAGAGAAATCTGTTCCTATGTTTATTTACAAATGTTGTTTTCGTTTGTTCATATTAAGTCTAAAATATTTTATCTTGTTTCAACTTCATTTTAATCATGCATGCCAATTTATTCAAACTAGTCAACATTATGCTTTGAAATCCTGATCCTAATTCAAAAACTTGATATATTTTCTAAATTTCAAATTACAAAATGTAATTGCTCATTTTCAGCATAAATGTAGGGGGGGGGATTAAGCATCTGCAATTCATATAAACATTACCAGACTAGCAAAGATGTGAAGGAAAAGCAAGATTTTAATGTATATGAAATGAAACATGAGTTTATAAAAAAGACTGCAGTCTGGTAGTTTGGATAAATGTAACTTACTTACCTTGTCCAAAGTAAAGCTTCTCTTATTGCAGTTTTGAAGGGTAAAGCGTGTGTATCCAATTACCCCAAAGCTAGGAGATCTTACAGCATTTGGGCCACCAGGACTGCTGACAGCTGAAAAAGTTCAAGTTAAGTAATCAATTTTTTATTTAATATATATACACTATCTACCAATAAGTATTTGGACACCTGTAATAGAAAAGAAAAACAAATTTTATTAATATTCAGTAGCTGGTAGAACCTCCACAAGTGGCAGTTACAGCCTCAACCTTCTGGGCATGCTATCCATAAGCCTTTGTATGATGGCTATTAGCATTTTCTTCCATTCGGCTTGGAGAAGACATGAAAGTTCCATCACCAATATTGCATGATTGTTGCACCCCTTAACCCTTTCTGGCACGCTACCTTTTAAAGTTGGAATTTCCACACAAAAAAAAGGTAGGCAGTCTAATCAGGCCTAGAGGAGTATACAGGTAAAATTTTATAAAGATAGCACTTACCGTTTTAATTCTGTGGGTGTGCCTGGAGCGGGCTCACTGAATGAATAGAACTTCGAAAAGAGTGCTGAAGCGAGCATTGCTGGAAAGCATGTAATAAAGTAAAAGATTTTGCCTGCAATAAAAAAACACTAGATTCTGAATACCGTAGCAGATTTAGCATTAGCCAGGGTGTGCCATGGGGAAGCCTGCTACTATATATTTACATTTCATATTTACACTTTCGTCTATTTTTTCATGGTGGTACTTTTTGAAGAAAGTGAACATTGCATGTTTTGCACATGTACCTGGATCCGTGTCAGATTCACTACCTGAAGGCAATTGGTATAGTACAGTGCTTCCGAAATGGTCAGCCTTCTCCAATCCATTTGCAAAATAATTATAAATCAGAAAAAATGAACTAGTATTATATCTACAATTAGAAATTCTAAACTATAAAATAAAATTAAATAAACATCTACAACTCAAAACTAACAAAACTTCTTTGAACGAAAGCGAAAGAGAAACAGAGAACTGCTCCAGTGAAAAACCAAACAGCTAACTGACAAAATTACCCCAACAATTTCTTAGTTGATAACCAAAATCTCCCCCCTCAAAAAAGGAGGAAATACAGATGTGGACACACCTTTCTATTGTGAATGAGCCCACTGGAGAGCTGCAGTGAAACAAAAATACAGTTGTTGGTCTGGTCCAAGTGTCTCGGTGATCCCACTCTGGGCACACCTGATGTTCGCTGTTCGATTTTAGGCACGATTTCAAGGTAAAAATTTAAAACTAAAAAAGAATAAAGAGATCAGCATATAGCCAAGAAAATAACATAGAAATTTCTTTAAAAACTAAACAGGGCTAAAATATATGGACTGTTTGTGTTGTGCTGCCATCTAGTATAAATAAAGAAGGTTCAGAGTAACCTATACTAACCTATAAATTCTTTTTCATTCATTTTTTCTGTGTGTACAGAGAAAAATTTTTAGGTGAGCTCAGGCCAGGCACACCATGCTGCAAAGGGTTAATTTGGTAATCCAGCTTGTCATAGAGGTTCTCGACAGCATTTAGGTCAGTACATTCGGTTAACCATATGTCACATCATCCAGGTGGACTGGACATGACAGCTGGCAATGTCATCCTGAAAGTAATATGGATCCAAACCGTAAAACTGCCACAACATAGGATGCACACTGTCATCCAAAATAGTGCAGCAGGCATTGGTATTGAGTTTAGCGTGAATTTAGACCAAGAGTTCCGTCAATACCAGAGAAAGGTCCTGAGATCATAATTCCACATCCGCCAACTTTATTGTGGGCACAATGCATTCTGGAAGGAGGCACTCTCCAGGCAGACCCACGGACCACCAGGTCATAGCCACATTTTAAGTTACAAAAAATAAGCACTTAAGTCTTTTCAAGCACATTTAAGGAAAAAAAAAGCACCTTCTAATTAAATTTACACACGCATAACCTAAAAGAAAATTGCTTGTATTTAAATATGAGCAGCAATATTATTAAGAGAATGAGCATTACCTCTCAATGGAAAACATTAACTTTTTTTTAATTTAAATGACAGTCAATTACAGAATAGTTTACAATGCGAGGGAAAAAAAACTATGCAGAACTAACTATATACAAATTTCTGATGATCTTTCAGTGAATATAGAAAATATAATAATAGCCATATTAATTGTATTCGTTGGGCACCTAATAATAATACTTTATTTCTCCACTCAATTAATATTTAATACTTTAACTTAAATCAAAAAATTTGAACATTTTCTAATTTTCATGCATAACAGTTTTCCCTTAAATATTATCCCAGAAGTATTTAAATTAAAAAACCGGCCCATTTATGAAAACAAAGACGGAAATTGCTTCCTTCAGTAATACTTTAACAGTAAAAGCTTAACTAACCACAACTCGTAAATTCCCGATTTTCCAGATATAATGAAAAGAGGTAGTGAGGGATTGTAGCCGTTCTTTAGATTTAAATTTAGGCTAAATAATGCTTTTGACATTTCGATTGTGCATCATATAAAAACCAACGGAATGATATTTATGTATAAAGCACAGAAACTCTTTTAAGTGTTCATAAACATCTCAGACTGAACACAAATTATTATCAATCAAATACCGCAAACGTTATTCATAATACGTGCATTACGCAATTGGAATAAACCTGTCGGATACGGAGAAAGAAGACTAAATAAAGAAAAGAAAAACGACTATAACTGGGTGTTTCGATTCTAATTTTCAATAGACTTATTTAAATTTCGGAATAGAATCAATCTTCGTTGGTTGGGTAGACAGCAAAACTTTAGTCCTATTCAATCCAATTGGACAGTGAAAAAAAAAAAAAAAAAAAAAAAAGCCTGCTGCTTCAATATTAGAGATTTTGCGGAGAACTCCAACCTAAGTACTGTATAAGTATTGGCAAAGAAAATGAAATTGACTATTCAATTACTTCCTTTTATTTAAGCCACCGAATATTATTCCTTAATGCTAATCGTGTAAAACACACCCATTTTTGAAGTTTATCTATACTTCAGCAGTTACTGCAATTATATTATTATAAATATTCATATATGCTCATAATATAAGCAAGGATCATAATAAACATGAATATGAATGACCACGCGGAACGAGAATGCAAATGTATTAAACCTTGATAGAAATTCAAACGTATATAGTATTGGGTGGGACTAAAAGAAACCGAATGTACCGGAATTTTCTACGTTTCCGAATTCTTTGGCAATGAAGATGTGCACGTGTCTTTACTCTTGCCGCCCATAGGTATTAATGCAGAGGAAGGGGGGAAAAGCAATTTTCGGAGATGATTCACCATCTGACGTTGCATATAAAAAAAAGTTGTTTATTTAGTTCAGCTTTGGTACGGGGAAAAAATGCGCGTTCATTAAAAACAAAGGTAAAAAAAAACATGAAAGCAAAAAATAAGCACTAAAAACAAAAAAATAGGGCTTTAAAAAACAAGCATCTATAAGGGCCTTTACATTTTATTTTCAAATATAAGGACTTATAAGCACTTGTAAGGACCGCTACGAACCCTGGACCCTGAAAATTTCACCTTTAGTTTGTAATTAAATTTTAAACTTTTAAAATTTTCAGCTATCATCATAAAATTTAGCTGTCTTTCACTATACATATTTGGCTATGTATCATGAGATTAATGACTAACGACAAGTTGTTCTGCTAAATTTTATCTTGCTTCTATCACGCACTGAGACAGTTAAGCCTGAATTGTATTAGTTTAGTTATTTATTATACTTATGTCTATTTCTTGCACGTCTTAAGGCTTATCTGAGCCTGAATAAATAAATTCTCCCATATACTTCCCACATATCTAGCGCCGGCGCTAGATATCGTATCACTTGATGGGTTCTAAATTGTGTTATGAAGCGCCTCCTTTTGTCTTCTCTAAATTCTGCCGCCCGGTGATGGCATACGAGCCCTGGCGCTGGTTTTAGGGAAAGGGGGGGATGTGTAAGGCATTTAAAAAAAAAAAAAAGAGCTGGTGGTGGCTTTGAGGTCCAGATTTTAGATCGTTTCGGATATTGGATGTCCGGATCTCGGAGTTTGTATTTTATACAGTGGGTAATCAGTTAACGAACATAATCTGTTACAAGACTATGTTCACTATCCGAATTGTTCGTTAACTGATCATCGATTTACCATAGATTTTTTTTGCAAAATCGGTTAATTTGTTCTGGAGACCCTAAAAATTAAATTAAAATAAAAGGATGTATAATTTCTTAGTAAGTTTATTAAAAAATAATACATACATATAGTCTTGCATATTAATCAGTCCTTTTCATTTTTTTGGTTATGAGGCGTTAAAGAACATGTCAATTGGAATTTGTCATTCATGACTACATATGGGACGATGAATGAAGGAGGGGGGCGCTCAAAATGAAATCAAAACCAAAACTGATTTCATTTTGAGCGCCTCCCCCCCTCTACTGATGGTCTACTTTACTTTGGCTATAAATATTCTATTGGGAAAAAAAATTTTTTCCCAATATAAAACTTTAAAGTTTAATAGGTAAGCAACATAATTCAAGAGAGATGATTAACAATTTGTTGTCCGAACACAAAAATCTTTCGTGAAAGTGTTCATTCTTTAAAAAAAACCATGTTGTAATTACATGAAAAGAAAAACTTAAATATTATTAAGCAACTGCATAAACTATTCTGATATTTTAATTTTTATATAATATTAAATTCTAGGTAAACCATTAATGCTTTACCTAGAATTTAATATTATATTTATTTATTTATGCTGAATATTTTTTATAATTATAACCAAAGCTACACATTTTAAATTTCCTAGTTTTATATTATTCTAAATGCTTTTTTATGGACTAATTAGAACTGTATAATAAAATAGTCCCAAGATAAGAAATTTTAGTTTTAATTTGCATGAAGTTTTATTGTATCATTTATCTTTTTCTCTATGTAAAATAATAATAAGAAGAAGCAAGTTTTAAAGTGCCTTAATTATATTTGTATGTATATACTTTCAAATGCACTTTTAATGGGAGGAGAGAAGGAAGAAATTCATTTAATAAAATTAGCTATTAAATATACTGTTAAAAACCCAATTATCTAAAATTAACTACTAAAAACACTAATTTTTAATCCGTACCTGGAAGCAGAAGTTTTCCATCAGCTTTCTTTCCTTTGGGAGTAAGGCGTATTTTGCTGTGTTCCTTAAAAAATACAATTTGATTGAAATTAGATTAAATATTATCAACGATGATGAAAATTTCATTTTTAATACACAGTACATAAAGTTACTCACATATTATCGCAACTGCCTTAGCAGAAGTTGCCAGATTATGTGCTAGACTCTGGCAACCATGCTCATGCAAAGATGCCATTTTCAAATGCATTTTCTTCTTTACTCCAAACTCCAACAGATTTTATAGACAAAGCATGATATTTTTTGCCATAAGCTCAATTATAAAACATTATTTGGGCTTATACCAAAAATGTAAGAAACTGCTCTAAAATTTCTGCATGAATACAGTATTGTACTGCAGAACATCAAATCAGTATGCAATGCCGAGTTCATATAATTTTTTTTAAAGCAAAAATGGGTTGCTATGTACATGAGGAGAAGAATAGTGTTAAAAATTAGACAAGCATTTCTTGAAAAATGTGTTTTATATTTTTAAATATATCATATAATCTTTAATGAACAATTAAAATTTATATTTAAAATTTTTAGAGTGTGTTTCCGTTTGGTAATGTTTGTTGACTTACAACAAATATCAACAATTTGGGAATGTTTTTTAAAAAAAATCTGATGTAGACACCACACGACTTCCTTGTACGGCCTATTAAGTTATATATATTTTATTGCTGCACTTCATTTAAACAAAATTTATTTTGGCACTATTCGGTTTCGAGGGCCGTAAAAAATCGCCAAACTATTGTTGATGCCAATGCTGCCGAAAACAATTGCGGCAAGAAAGGAAGTATAATAGTAAATAACTAAGATTGATGTTTCAATTTAGATGAAAGGTTAATTTTATATAATACTTTTTTATTTTATAATTTATATGAAAAAGGCTAAACATGACGATGGAAGCATAAGAGTAAATACTATTTCAGATCATTATTATAGTTTATATAAAAATTGCTAAACATAACTGAATGGATGCCTGCATCGCTATTTCGCTACCGATTTATCGCTAAAGCAAAATTTGATCTCGTTGTTTGTTCAAATGTAATTTTCTATAATGAATGATGCCTTTTCTTAGAAAATATTCTCGGTAAAGTGCAGAATCGCTCACTTATTTGCTTGCTGCTTTTTACAAGGGTAAAAACAATTGGATTTTTGTCAATTTTCTTTTACTTTTTAAGTGAAAATAGGTCGATGTGTACATAGATAAAGTCAAGGGTGTGCGCATGCCTTTTTGTGCAATTATAGGATTTTTCTTTTAAGTGAAATAGGTCGATGTGCACATGGATACCGAGATGTGCAATTCTTAAAACGCATCATGCAGTGGGTGGTTCTGCACTTTAACCCAAATTCTTTGGCGCTTTCATCATGGGCAATTCCTAAATTGTTAATTCACAGGATATCAAAAAGGATTTAAAATCAAAAAATGATTTAAAAATTAAACTAGTATTTCAATGGCATCTTAAGAAATACAGAACTATATAAGCTTACGCAATGTGAAATCAGCGCATATGCTAGATTTAGCGCGCTGTTAAATGGCCGCGTTTGCTAGATTTGGCGTTTTTGCCCGTACATTTTCGCTGCAATTTTGTTACGGCCCTCAAAACCGAATAGTAGCTTTATTTCCTTGAATTATTCTAACGTAATTAACCAGTCCCTCAAGGCAAGTTAAAAATGACATAAAATATTTTAAATTTTCAAAGTTAATATCCTGGTCAATTTTTGTCATACAGGAATTAAACTTTTCATAATTTTATTTTTTCATAATGAGCATCAAACTCCCAAATATAAGTGTAGGAACCGAGAGATTGCATTAGTCAGATTTTGTTACTTACTGGAAGTACTTAATTTTTTTTTTAATGTCAAAATATGAATATTTTTGTCATTTAAAACACTTTTGTAACTAAAAGCATATAACTACAATCAATGACCGTGAAAATAAAGGCAGGGAAAGGACTTTTAAGCTGGGTAAAGGGTTGGGTTTATATATATGTTTTGGAACTGTCGATTGTAATAAAAAGGAGAGATGCACAACTAGATTTTATAGCAGTCCTATATACAACAATCTCATCATTCTACAGATAATCATTTTTGAGGTAAGCGAGATACATGTATACGTATATAAGTACGGATGTCACCAGAAAATCCTGTTTTAATGTATTATAAATCCATTTGGGTGTGGAGGGATGGGGGAATTCCTTTAAACTATCTTTATGTATAGACATCATTGGGGGATAATTCCAAATGGATATATCCATTAAAATATGATATCCAAAATTTTTTGTTATTATGATACACCCTTTACTTCGTACAAGGAAATAATAAGCTGCAAAATCCCTGAATTTGCACCAGGGAAGAAATTTTTACCTTTTCATCCATAAAAAATTGTCACAGCGTGCTAAGGTGATCGTATTAATATGTCAAGTACCCACATACAAGCCAATTTATGAATAAAACATTTACATTAAAAAATTCTAGGAACTATTTTAGTACTTTTAAAACTGTAAACAGTGAGAATTAATTAATCAACTGTGAATAAATATTAAAAAATAATATACCATATAATTTTTCTCATACAAGTTACAATTATGTATATTTTTCGTAGGTCTGTTATTTAACATTTAAGACATTTTCTCATATATCATGCATAGCTTTTTAATAGTTTAAACTGCTTTACTCAAATTTGGAAATCAGATAAACATATTTAAATCAAAATATGTCTGAAAATCTGATATGTTATACAAAGTGCATCAAGAGAAAAGTTTATTTTCACTGTAGTAAAAACTTAACGTGCTTTTCCCATACTTTCACCCTGTAATTTCATTAATTTTAGAAAAAAATTTCCATGTGACAAAACAATTTGCCTCTATAAAGATGACAACTATGTATATTATATACTATGACAGTCAATTTTGTACATTAGTGTATGTGTAAATGTCTATAAAGTCGTATTTAGTTTCCTAAAATGTTTCTCTTTTCTGTCTAAGAATCAATATAAATGTCAAAATGCCCTAAATTTCACTGAACAGTTCCAAGTCTAATTAAAAGTTCTTATAGTATTAACAGGTTTTAGTACATTTTGGAAACCTTTTGCAATTAATTACTTTCTCAATTCAATGGAAATACAAAATAATCTGAATGGCAAACCATCTAATGCTGTCATTCTAGATAAAACTTCATCAAAACAGTAATTTTTCCCATTAAAAAATCTTTAATTTGCGATATCTTCAGGCTAGTTATACCATTTTTAGGGGAGTTAAAATTTGTCTATGATTCTTTTCATTTTCAATAAATTAATATTACATAGTGCTTTTAATGTGTATGTAGTCTGCTTGTACTTCGTTCAAAAAATTTTAAAATTGTTGAACATAAATAGTGAAACCAAGCCAAAGTACACTACCCAACACTGAAAATGCAACACCAACGAGTGGCCCAAAAGTAATGAAACTCGGAAACAGAGAGACACAGCAATAAACAATACGTGTTCTTTATTTCGAAATGATATATATAATACAGAGCGAGAACAGCACCGACTCAATAGGTTGTAGGACCACCTTGGATCAGGGTTCGTACACATTTCTGCACACGGAAATTAAATACTTTTAAGGACTTTTAAGGACCATTAATGAAAAACATTAAGGACCTATGAACAAATGGGAACTGAATAAATTTAATTAAAAATATTATTCTATGCCTGAATTTCAGTTTGTAATACCATCCTAAAATAAAATAGATCCCTAAGTAGTATGCATTATTACTAAACATGAATTAACTAACATAATTATTAATAAGTTTGAGAATAAAATAAACTTCGTGCAGTTTATCAAGTAGCATTAAATATTTTACCACTTATAATAGTTGGACATATTTAAAAGAAGCTAAGTGACATTTACGTTTTACTAATAGTTAGCTTTATGCTGTTTTTTATTATTATTATTATTATTATTATTATTTTATTTTTATGTCTCATTTTGTCACACACTTGGTCAGTCTAGAGGTTTAGCAAATAGTAGGGAGATTTTATGTCAAACGGCATAGGTTAAAATGAGAAGTGAGATCATAATCAGCATGATTCATAACAAAAGACTGAATGTTGTCCCTCTGCTGCTTGTCTATAGAGAGACCTGCTGATTGGAACAAACCTGAAATGCCCGATGCAGGCACAGTTGGCAAGTGTTGAAAGTTAATCAAGCTCTGCTTAATGCAGTTAATGTCATAGCTTTGTGTAGAGTTCCAGTGGTTGTAACCCAGTTAATATACTTTAAGGTTCCACAACAAGACATTAAAGCACCAGAGGTGATAAGTTGTTTTATATATATTATAAGTCTCAGTAGATTCAAAGAATAAGTTTTACTTGATGGGTGTTGGATGATGGTTCTCCACACAAAGGATTTGGCGATTGGATCCCCTAAAAACTCCAGTCGCCCTTTAAAAGGGGGAGTATATAAGGTATTTCTCCCACTTTCTTGGCGACTCTTCGTGGTGTAGTGGTTTGCACACTGGTAGCAGTATTCCAGAGGTCAGCAGTTCGATTCCCAGCGAAGCGTTGTTAATTGTTTAATCTTTCCTGCTTTCAAAAATACCTAATGTCTCTACAAGTCTTCCCAAGCATTTTAGCTAGTTTATATTGATTTCCTTCTCTTTAATTATCGATCTTTTCTGACAATAATTAGAAATTTGTCTCAATATGCAAACCAATGTTCTCGCTAGTTTTCTGTGTGCTTTATCTCCTACCTTGTCAACCTCTCCACGATGTACCTATGAGGGTTTACTTGATCTTGTAAAAGTTAAATAGTCCCCCCCCCCCGATAGACGTGAGGCAAATTATCACTGTATCTGAAAGTAACTACAATATCAGACAAAGAACTTAGAACATAAAGGCATGTTCTGATGCTAACAAAGTCAATTACAGCTGATGGTGACGTAATTAAACAAGAACAGTCAAATTCTAACTAAAAATGTGGACTAGTGGTCAAAGAAAATACAATTTAATTTTAATTTAATCTAGCTCAGTAACTCTAT